CTCAGGGGGATCCAACTGGCTATTTAAATATCCTTCTGGTGCTGCTGTCCATTGGTGCCCAGCCCACCTTCTTGAGTCTCTACTGCACTCCTTAACATTCAGGTTGTGCTAAAGCTGATTCTTCTGCTTGTCTGAGGTTATAAGGCTCCTCTCTCACTATTGTTCAGTTGTTTGTTCCAGGTGATTTCTCCACAATTTAGTTGTAATTCCAGATTGGTCCTGGGAGGAAGTCAGTGTGACTTCCATTCACTCCTCCACCATCTTGCCATCCTAAAACCTTGATTTGTTTGTTCCACTTATATATGCATTCATTGGTTGATTCTTGTATGTGCCCCAACCAGGGACGGAACCCACAACCTTCGCATATGAGGATGGCACTCTAACCAACTGAGCTACCTGGCCAGGACCTATAGTAATAGATTTTTAACCCACAAAGTAAAATAGGACTCTATGAGTTGATGCTGAAAGGAATAAATACATAAGAAGGGGAAGGTCTAGTTTATCTAGAATTCTAAATAATAAATACAAAGGAATTGTAAGGAAATTGTTATAGCAGTAATTTAGGCAAAAATCATCAATGAATTTAAAATTGGTGGGTGAAAGTCTAATGCGTACTGGGAGAGTTAGGTATGTCAAAATATTTTCTACAAAATACTTACTAATAAATATAAAAATAATAAACTTCACAGTGGAGAAATTTGATAGATGCAACCTTATTCAATTGGTAAACGTTAACATCACTAGTTATGGGACAAATGAGGTCATGTCCCTCCTGATATGATGCACTGAGAAAAACATGGCATCATTTCTGTTGTATTCCTGCCCAAAATGCATAAATCATGATGTAACATCAAATGGATCCAAACTGATGGACATTCTACAAAGTAAATTGATCTATAAATTTCAAAAAAGTTAGGTCAGAAAAAAGAAGAATGAGGAACTGATCCCAATTGAAAGACATTAAAAAGACACGATAGTCACCATATGTAATGCCTGACCTTGGACCAGATTCTAGACTATAAGGGCCAGTATTGGAACAATCAGAGAAATTTGAATGTAATTTGGGGATTGATAGTGACACTGTATCTATACATATGCTAGTTTCCTGATTTTGATGGTTGTACTGCTGCTATGAAGAGAATATGCCTTGATTTTAGAAAATACATGCCTAAGTACAATATTTTAGGAGTAATGGGACATATATCTGCAACTTTTTCATAAATTGTTCAGAAAAATTTAAAAAATATGTATGATGCATGTATACATACATACATATATGCAGAGAGAAACAGGTTAATAAGGCAAACAGTAAAAAGTTAATGGGAAGTCTGAGTAAGGAGTGTGGGTGAAGAACATGCAGGAAATCTGCTATTCTTGCTCCTTTCTGTAAATTTGAAATTAGAACAAAATCAACAGTTTAAAAAGGTACTAACAAGCTCTTTTTTAAGAACCTGTAATTTTACTTCCTTTCTCTTTCTCTTTTAAGTTATATAGGATTTTCTCCCAATGTAATATAGTTTAATATTTAAAAGTCTATTCTTGATTGCAGGCTACCCTGCAAAAAGGTATATACATTTAAGCATTTAAAAACTTTCTTCTTATTGTAAAAATAATTCTGTATGAAGCTATCATAATTAAAATGATAGTTTATTAAGTTATAAAGTTTATCAAAACAATATATATTCTAAATTTTGATAATTATTAAACATAGAAAATAAAGTTATATTGGAAATATATCTTTGGATTCATGAATCCATGGATCAATAGTACTTATTGCTAGAATGAAACAGAATTTGGCATCAATTTTATTTTATTTTTCATTAAAAAAAGTAAGTGCCCCAAACCACTGTTCATATACCTCAGTGGATGAAGATGGAGGCATCTTATTTTAACAATGTCCTTCAATTGTTTGAACATCTTTTGAGTTAGAAGCTAAGTCACATAGTGATTCATCACTAAAAATTATTGTATTGAACTCATAGTTGACTATTCAGTTTTGTCTTCCATCAATTTTACTGAAAACAAAGAATTAGAACCGATGGAGTTGGAAAGGAATTTGATACTCAGTGATGAGAGTCATTCTTTTTTTTTCTCAGTACCATCACCAATAGCTTGCCTGGGCTATTTTTTTGGAACCCCAGCAGTTTTTCTATGTCAGGGCAATGTACCTTGGAAAGATTAAGCATGAGTGAAAAGAGGGTCTCCCCTCTGCAGGGTGCAAGAATAGCGACTGTGAAAAGAGAGGTGGGGAAAAGAATCTGCTTTAGAGGCACCGTTCTCAGTCATGTGTGTCTTGGAAAAGAGATTTTATCCATGTACCCACACATGTGGCTTGGAAAGTCTTTTTGTGCCCTTAGGGGTACATGCATGTTAATTCAAAAATCACTATTAACACATTTATTTATTCTAATAGTGTCTAACACATTTATTTATTCTAATAGTGTCTAGTATTATGTGTACCTTTCCTCTAAAGGAGGCAGGAAACTTAGCACATTTTTATTTCCCTTCTTTCTCTCTGTTTACCTGTACCATTTCACATATTGAAATATCATCTAGACCAGGGCTATCCAATAAAATATAATGCAAGCCATTTGTATAATTTTTTTAAAAATTAGTCAATTTTAAAAAAGAGGTAAAATTAATTTTTAAAATAGGAGTTTAATGCAAAATACCAAACACACTATTTCAACATGTAATCAATATAAAAATGATCAATGAGATATTTTACATTTTTTCACATTGTCTTCAAACCCACTGTGTCTTTCATGCTTGCAGTACATTTTAATTCAGAGTAGCCACATTTCAAGTGCTTAATAGCCACACACGTTTAGTGACTACCATATTAGAGCAGTTCTCGAATTTTAGTTTCTGTCTGTTACTGGGTTTTGTACTGTTGCATTGACACTTATGCAGACTTAATGATTTACTGCTTCTCATCACTGTTTTCTTACATTCCACCAAGACTAAGAACTTTGTATTTTATATATTTTAGAGCTCTTATCACAAGTGCCTAGCAAATGTTTAAAATACTAATGGCATCTGATGCGACAATTACCAGATTAGTCTTACATAGAGAATCTGAAACTGTTCAAAGGTTTGCACTTGAGTGCTGGAGGCTTCATAGACAGCAATCTGCATTGGGTCAAAGTACTTTAAAATTGCCATGATTTTAAATTTTATCAAAAAGATAAAAGCCTTGAAAACAAAACTGGGGGAGTCAGTTTCAACATTTCTTTTTTACCCCACTAACCAAGACCAAAATGCAATCCTTTTCTCCTCTGCACCAGCCATCTTGTGTCTTTTCCACATGGTTACTCACTGGGCTATGGATGGAAGCCTCATGCATTTTCTTTTTATGCCTAAATGATTTAAATTTCTTTTAAGTTTTTCTGGGACTTTTTTATACAGTGCCAGACATTCTCTTGGCCTTCACAAATATTAACTTAATAAATAAAAGATTACATGACAATTACATGACTTTTCTCTGAACTTCTTACAGCTTTCCAAGGTCCTTTACCCTAAACGTGCAGTTGTCAACCAGAAGGAACTCTAAAAACTCCCTACTCTTGTAACTTCTCCCTAAAATGCGACTCTCCTACCCGTGCAGGCATGTTAAGATCCACATAGCTCAAGGCTGATGAGGGTTCAGGAGGCAGGTTTCTTTGTCCTAGGAAGTCTGGAATCACCACCACCTCTTTTCCTGTCCGTAGAAGCAACGTGTGCTCAGGAAGCCGTGAGCTGGGCCAGCTCATTTTAAATAAATTGTCGCTGATTTCATGCTGCCAATTTGGAGGAAGAAAATATGCATTAGGGGACTTCATGGGGCACTCGTGGGAATAACAGGGATTGTGCCCCTTTAAAGGGCCTGCAAATCAAGAGATTGAATTCATTTAGCTCCTTCTTCCCATCTTGTTCCCTCCCCACCAAAATATAATTGAAGAGCTAATCTTACATAGTAACACCATAGAGTTGCCTAGAACTAGTCTATCTTTTCACTTTTTGCATATATTCTAATTACTGGCTATGAGTTTACTAATCTTTGCATCCTCAGAACTTAGAACTGTGCTGAGCACAGAGGAAGCGGCAACTACCTGTTAAAGTATTGCTTTGTGACTCTAGGGAGCTTTACAGTTTGTAAGCTTTTAAAAAGAAAACCTGTATGTTCGGGGTGTTTTCTCGGGTTTTTCCATGTTAATATTCGTGTGTCTAAATTGCTGCTATCCCAAGGGCCCCTCTTTCTCAAGAGCCATTCTTCCTGCCTGCCCTTCCACCCCCATTATTTTGCAACCGCCAGGCAAAAACTTCGAACTTCCCTTCGTTTTTTCAAGTGAACTATTTTTTCTCCTTGAAGAAAAAAAAATTACATACGCTCATACTAGAAAACTTAGAAATGCAAAGAAAAATTAAAACACATGCATTCCTGGCACTAGGAGATAACATCTATCGTCTTTATCAAGCCCTTACTATGAGTTAAACCTAGTTTTAAAACACGCGATCTCATCTTCTAAATAAACGCTCTTATTTCGCAGAATTTCTTTACAAGCTTTTTTTCTAACTCAAGGCCCAATGCTAGGCTCTTTCCCGACTCTCTGTCCAGTCGGGGTACGAAGAGGCGCACGAGATAAAATTCTGTCAGCCAGAGGTAAAAATCTGTTCGTCTGGGTAAAAATATGTCCATCTGGAAACCTCTTGGTTTGGAATTAAATTGTCATTCCGAGTAAAAATGCCTCAGCCTATGGGGGATAATTAGTTTGCTAGGGAAACTCCGCCTGGTCCCGGCCCTCCTGGTCACCATACCCACCCAAGACTCGATCCCGCCGGTCACCCCCAGGGAAAAAGGTCCCCCGCACACCCCAAGGGGAAAAACGCCCCCACGCTCGTCACTTTGGCTCCGCCCCCGCCGGGGGCCTCATAACCCATAGGCAATGAGATCCGCCGTGCGTCACGCGGAACTGGCCAATCGCGGAGGGCCACGACCATAGAAAGGCTGCACGCGGCAGGGCTGAGCGGCTGGGCGGTGGCAGTGCACGTAAGCGTAGACAACTCTTGGGCTATGGTAGTGGTGGCATCCACGCAGAGCCCGGCCGCCGGGGCCCCCAAAGTGCTTCTCCTGTCCGGCAAGCCCGCCGCCGCCGCTGCTGCCGGAGCCCCGGCCGGCCGGAATGTGCCGCTCATGCTGCCGAGCCAGCGAGGGGCCAGTCCAGAGGCAGAGAGCGGAGGGCCACCCCAGGCACGAAAGCGACAGCGCCTCACACACCTGAGCCCCGAGGAGAAGGCGCTACGGAGGTGGGCGAGGGATCCGGTCTGGGACCGGATCTGAAACCGGGAGAGGGGCCTGGGTCTGGATCGGGCCGCACTCGGGCGCCCTTGGCCTGGCCTGTCCGGTGCCAACGTGGCGCGGGGCGGGGCAGGAAGTCTGGACTGAAGGGATCCACAGCTCTGAGTTGAGCCCGGGCTGCTCCAGTCTTTTTAATTTCATTCTTTTCTATCTCATTAGAGATGCCTAGAGCTGAGTTTGTGGGCACCTGGGTTTCAGGCCCTTTTGATGTGTGACCACAGACCGATTGTTCAGCTCTTCTGAACTTGGAGTCGAATAGCTTCTCGGTTTACCTACTTTATTTTGAGGAGCAGCTGAAATGACAGCTGTTAAGAGGGCTGTGAGCTCTGTAAGGTTCCCTAGTCAAACTCAATTTCTGCGGCCTTAAAATGGTATTTACTACATGAGGTCGTTGGGGGAGATTGAGAGTAATGCCTATTACTTAGTCCTCTGTAATGTTAGTTCTTTTCTGACCATTGTGCACTTTGCAGTTTTATTAAGTGCCTCCTCCAGCAGAAAGGGCTTCTGCCCAGGATCTCGGATCCAGGACTGCCTAGGATCTCATCTCAGCACTAGAGAGGAAGGCATCAGCCTCTCCCTTATTTTAGTTGCGCCTGGGGAGAAAGGGTTTATGTCATTGGGCGACTGCGGCCTTCACTAGATTTAATTAGTCCAGTTTGATCCTGTTCAAGGGAATTGGAGTCAGGAAACAACGAAGGAGTGGAAAAGGGAGGAGGAAATGTCTTATGTTGCAAGATGGGTAATATTTGTGTCCAGCCCCTGTGCTGTGTCTGGAATGAGACTGAGGTGGATGACGCAATATGAAAGCGAATAAAGCAGTTCTTCAAGCTAGATTGAAAGAAGGCTGTATTTTTTGTTTTATTTTATTTTATTGAGGGGAAGAGCCTGAAGTGTATTTTACCATTAGCCCACCTTATACTGTAAATTGTTGTGAAAGCACCAGCTGGCCAGGTTTTCAAATAAAGATATAAATAAGGTTTGAGATGACTCAGTGTGGTATATCCCTTCTGTTCCTAGGAAACTGAAAAACAGAGTAGCAGCTCAGACTGCCAGAGACCGAAAGAAAGCTCGAATGAGTGAGCTGGAACAACAAGTGGTAGATTTGGAAGAAGAGGTAAAACCACTTAAGGCTAAACTCTTCTCTTTTATCCGTTGTATATCTTTCCTTGGTAAATGTTGATATTTGTTGCCCATCCCAAGTTGTTTCAGTCCCTTTAGAATAAAATTGATTATGTAATCAAAAGTTAAACTAATCTAAGTTAGGGTAGATAGGTAGTTGGTTAAATGAAGTTTGATGAGAGAAGTGATTGACCCTATGGCATGTGGTGTGCTAGATCTGTTTCAGAGTTTGTGAATTACATTACAACAATGTTTATCAGGTTAGTACTAAGACATTAGTAAGAGCAGATAGGAAATTGCTTAAACTTGAGCCCCTTCCTGGCTTGGCTGAAGTCCACTAACGGTTCCCTTTCCCTTCTAGGATCCATCTAATCTTGAAGTGTTGCCAGTTACACATCCTGAATAAATAAGGATTATTCATATTATTATTATTATTTTACATATTTTGATTTTATGGTCCACTTTCTTTTTTAAAAAAATTATTTATTTATTTTTAGAGAGTGGGGAAAGAAGGGAGAAAGAGAGGAAGAGAAACATCAATGTGTGGTTGCCTCTTGCGCGCTCCCAACTGGGGACCTGGCCTGCAACGCAGGCATGTGCAGCCCTTTGGTTTGCATGCCAGCACTCAATCCACTGAGCTACAACAGTCAGGGCTTATGGTCTACTTTTATTTACCTGCCAGTTCAAGACAGGATTTGTTAAATATACTTAAATTAAAGCTACAACTCACCATTTGCTGAGGCCTATATTAGTTGGAGGTATTGTGTTATTTGTGACCATAAAATGGCCCTTCTTAAATAGCTTATTTTTAATAATTATGACCATGCCTTCTAATACATAGTATGAACTGGGTAAGCAGTTTTTCCAACACAGAAGGAAATTAATTGTAGTGAAACTTCATCAGGTGTATTAAGTGAAAGAATTAAGATGTTTTAAAGCCTCTTATGAACTTTCTTCCAGAACCAAAAACTCTTGCTAGAAAATCAACTTTTAAGAGAGAAAACCCATGGCCTTGTTGTGGAGAACCAGGAGTTAAGACAGCGTTTGGGGATGGATGCCCAGGTTACTGAAGAGGAGGAAGAGACCAAGGTAAGCACCTCCTTTATTTAGTGCCATATGTGAGAACTGGTTCTAAGTGACATGACATGACCTCTTTAATGACACTTATTTTCAACTGTGTATTAAATAGTACTCAGTACTAATAAAGTTACGTGGTTCTCTAAAAGCAAGTACTAACAAATATTGATAGCCAATAAGATGTGCCAGTATTAAGGAGAACCAGAATAAGACAGCCAGTCAAATCTGACTTTGAAGGTTACTAAATTTATAATAACTTTTTGATGAATATGAATGAGTAGGGAAAGGACGCATTTTCATAGTGACACTTCTCTGACAGAAGATTTATGGATTCTAATCTATGGATTCTGTTAACTTTAATGACAATTCTTACATGGTCTAAGATTGACAGTTGGGCAGTTCTGCTCTGTGAAGTAGTAGTATTCAGGACAAACTTTAAAATAATTACTGTCCAAAAAGATTCTGGGCCTAAATTTACTATGGTACTGTATTGCTTGGAGACATTATTATGGAGAATATCATTAGCACATTAAGAATATCGGCCCTAGCCCTGGCTGCTGCGGCTCAGTGGGTTGAGCGTCATCCACAGACTGAAAGGTCGCCAATTTGATTCCTGGTCAGGGCACATGCCGGGGTTTCAGGCCAGGTCCCCAGCTGGGGACAGGTGAGAGGCAACTGATTGGTATTTCTCTTGCACACTGATGTTTCTCTCCCTCTTTTTCCCTCACTTCCCTTCTCTCTGAAAATAAATATAAAATGTTTTTTTTTAAAAAAGGAATAGCAATCCTACTTGAATCTTTGGGGAGTAAAAATGTTTCACAGCACACAAAATTATAATGAAAAGTTAGTCCTACTCCCTTTTCTCATCTTTTCTTTAGGAGGACTCAAGAAAATGGAAATAAAGGAAAGATTTCAGATCTAAATATTAGTTTTCTAACTTTCTTGAAAGTTGAGAACACAGCTGCCTAGTGAGCATTTTTCCTTGGGGATTCTCAGCTGTTTGAACAGTTCATTCACTTTGGTGTTTCCTCTCAGGGGAATGAAGTGAGGCCAGTGGCCGGGTCTGCTGAGTCCGCAGCACTCAGACTACGTGCACCTCTGCAGCAGGTGCAGGCCCAGTTGTCACCCCTCCAGAACATCTCCCCATGGATTCTGACAGCGTTGACTCTTCGGACTCTGAGGTAGGGGCTATTTGGATTTACTAATGAGCTGTGTAACATCTGTTTGATGCCCAGTATCCCTAACCAGGCAGATTAGGGTATGTTAGTTTGGGATGGGTTAAGGGTGAACATCAACTACCTTCCTGTTTCTAGGTGATTCAAGATATGGAGTGAAGTGTAGATAAATGGGTTTCGTTGGTTCAAAAGGTTATCAAATCTCATAATGATTAACTTACATTATGGAACCTAGTACTAAATATTCTAGGTAGATTCTCAGGTGCATTCTAATAGTTGGACTCCATTTATTTTTTGCTTCTTGCAGTCTGATATCCTGTTGGGTATTTTGTTCAACTTGGACCCAGTCATGTTCCTCAGATGTCCTTCTCCAGAGTCAACCAGCATGGAGCAGCTCCCAGAGGTCTACCCAGAAGGACCCAGTTCCTTACCAACCTCCCCTTCTCCATCACTGGGGACGTCATCAGCCAAGCTGGAAGCCATTAATGAACTGATTCGTTTTGACCACGTATATACCAAGCCCCTAGTCTTAGAGATACCCTCTGAGACAGAGAGCCAAGCTAATGTGGTAGTGAAAATTGAGGAAGCACCTTCCAGCCCCTCAGAGAAAGATCACCCTGAATTAACTGTTTCAGTGAAGGAAGAACTTGTAGAAGATGACTTCATTCCAGAGCTGGATATCCCAGATCTCCTTTCATCCAGCCACTGCCTGAAGCCATCTTCCTGCCTACTGGATGCTTACAATGACTGTAGATATGAGGGCTCTCCTTCCCCTTTCAGTGACATGTCCTCTTTGCTTGGTGCAGACCATTCTTGGGAGGACAGTTTTGCCAATGAACTTTTCCCCCAGCTAATTAGTGTCTAAGGAATGCTCCAATAGTGCCCTTTTCCTTGACTATTACACTGCCTGGAAGACAGCAGAGAAGCCTGTTTGTGCTTCATTCAAAAGCCAAAGTAGAAAGTACACAACAATTTGTCTATTCAAACCTTACCGGTCACCCTACGTATTGTCTTTTGACATTACTCAGATATAGTACTACGGTGCAGAATTACAGCTATTGAGGTTGTACCTTTATCTTAAGGGCAGCAGTTTGCCCTAAAATACTTATGTAGAGGACATCAGACAGGGAATTTATGAATGGCCCTTTATCATCTCTCCCTTCTCAGCATCCCAGGCTTGCCTCCAATTTTAGGTCCTTTAGTTTGCTTCCGTAAACAAAGAAACCTACTTGAGGGGGCTCCTTTTCCCTCATGTACAGTTCCAGTAAAGATCAAGAATCTTTTATAATGTTATAGAAATTTACTATGTAAATGCTTGATGGAATCTTTCCCTGCTAGTGTAACTTTTGAAGGTGCTTTCTCCATTTATTTAAAACTACCCATGCAATTAAAAAGTGCAATGCAGTGTCTTTGTTCTTTGATTCCCTCTTGGACCTTGTCTTAAGTTCCCTCTAGGTGTTTCACTGTTTGCCATGGTAGTGATTTATCCAACTTCAGTTAAGCATGACACTTTTAAAAGTGACTGGAGATTTTTTCCCCCCTTACTTACTGTCTGCTCCAATTCCTAGTGGCCATAAATGATATAATCTACTCTTTGAGCAGTTACGATATTTCTGAGACAGCTTCTTCAGCCTAACAGACCAGTATCACATCTAGTAAGTGGCAGAGCTAGAACCCTTAACATTTTGCTACACCATCTCATGACAGAAGGACATGTCGTTAAATACCAAGATTCTTTTGCAATTATTAAAGGAATTAAAAGCATATTCTAGAATCAGCTCTGCCACTGTTAGCTGGGTAACCCTCTATGTATAGTATCACTTATCTCCTCATCTGTAAAGGGGCATAATAGTCAATATTTCTAACAGTTGCTAAATAATTACAACAGATGGTATATTATAAGCACTTAGGATATGCCAGGCACCATCCCAAGCACTCAAAAGTTAGCTATTATCACCTAATCCACTCTGGAAGGATTTTAATCTTACAGAATTAGATATACTCTAGAACTTGTTTCACTAAAGAGTGAACCTGTTCAAAGAAATATCCTAGATATTAATTTAATCCCAAAACTAGACACTTGAAGACTATCATCCTTCATGGTGCACCTCTTCCTTGGGAATCCTTACAAGATAGTAAAGGACTTCCCTCACTTAAAGACCTTTCACCAATGCCAGCATTCTATGCTAATATTTATTAACAGCCTCTGAGGTCAAAGTGAATAAGTACAGTACACAAAAGGAAGTGGGATTCAGAGTCCCAAGCAGCAAAGAAAAGGAAACTATAGTTTCAACCAAGCACAAGGGAATGCTTTTGGTGTGACGAGTGCTGTCAACAAGCACACTTGCAAGCAAGAAAGCCGACAGCCCCTGGTCACTGGAGCCAGAGCCCAATCCTGGTTCTTGGCATGCAAGCTTGTTTGGACTCTGAGTATGTAAGGACTGTCTCCAGCTGTCCCATGATTAAAACTTGACCACCTGATTTTCAATAACTGAAAACTTAAGTGCTGAGAATCTATTTAGAGATTGTGTAGGCAGATGTAATTACAGATGCATTTTAAGCCTCCATCATAATAGCACAAACATCTGGAGATGGAGGCTCAAGTAATTTACATTCAATGACATCACATGAAATAGGCAGCTGTACTAACAGAAATAACACAAAGGACATACATAACCTGTGTAGATTATCAGGGTTTTCATTTCCTGCATAGATGGGTGAAAAAAACTAAACACTGCTCAGACTTGAGAAAACACCTGGTATTCAAGGACATCTTCATACTGAAACACTAAATCGAATGGTTAGAAACAAAAACCAAGACCTTTTCCTACAAAACCAAAACACAACTTCTATTAAATGCAAAGGGTTGTTCATAACTGCGATTAAAAGAATCAGGTGACAGACGCCTGCACACCATTTCTGTGGGCCTTGTAACGCCCATCCATGTGTGCTCCCCTGCTTCCCTACGCGTACTACTGGAGCAGACACAAAGCAGGCACAGACCTCGCAGGCAGAGGTACTGCTGCCTACTCCAGAAATATTTTATAGGATAGGTTAAAGTCTAATCTCCTAAGAATTAAATCTTTACTCTGTGACTCCTATATGTTCATTAAGAGACAGCAAGACTGGCTTATTTACCCACTAATCAGTTATTGAAAGACAACATCTTTATCTGGCTGGAGCTGTCATCTCTAAAATGTCACTGGAAGAATATTTAAACCAAATTGATGTACACAAAACTATAGTCCCCCTCAAGGAATTAAATGTTACACTGCCTGAACTTCATTGTAGATTTCAATGAAATCTAAATGACATTTTAGGTATTGCTGCAAAAAGACTGGTCAGGTTTTAACACTGGCCCTGGTGAATTGGATTATAACATTTTGTCACTATCTACGAAGGTTTTAGTTAGCAAACAGGTAAAAAAACTTTTAAAGATAACTTTCAGCTGTGATTTCCAAATTTTGGTGAAAAACAAAACAAGATCCCGAGTTTTCTGTCACTGCAATCCAAACAACTCTGCCTGCCCATAAGTCAGGGATCCACATTTATTAACGTTTGTAAATATGAAGGCAACACTGCCACCCAGTGACCTATCAAGTCAAGAAAGAAATGATCATATAAAAGAACATCATGGGATTTTCCTATTCGTTCTTTTTAAAGGTCCCAAACCTATAAAGACAACAGAACTGTGAACTCTATATTCCATTTTCAACTTCATATTTGAACATTTTTGAAGATTCAGTCACCACTGCCATCTGAATACTGGCAATCAATCACCATTACCAATCAATGCTGCTAACAGCAGCAATGAATTGCTAGTAAGACTGGAAAGCATTCTTGGGCTTTTGGAATGGCAAAACACAGTATGCCTGTTTTGCAAATAGCTCATTCATTTATGAAATTTACCTTTAGCCCAGCATAATCATCTCTTCATTTCAGCCCCTCACTGATATGAACTCTACTGCAAATACAATTTAGAGGAAAGCAAAGTGGCTGTTACTTTACTTAAGTATAGGAATTAAGTACAGAGTACAAATATCTCAAAAAGTCCAAAATACTTATGAAGTTTTATTGAAAACAATAAAATACAGAAACACCAGATTCTCATTTTAAAGTAAAATTGACAGAATTTTCCAGAACTTTCCTAGTACTGCACCATTCTTATCACTATTAAAAAATAAAACCAAATTCCAAATCCAAAATACTTTATACACTTTCTGGTTAACATTCTTCCCATGGTTCTAATTATTTTTCTAAATTTTACATTTGCACCTTTCAAGGATGAGATTTAAAAAAAAATTGGCTGATTAGTATTTGTTGAGAACTGGACTGACTTTCCTCATACTAATTAAAAAACAAAACAAAACCCACACACACCCTACTCAAACTCAGAGAAAATATACATTTGTTCATTAAAGCTCACCTGCTTTAGATAATTTTTTCTCTTCACACATTAGCAGAGAAAGCTAATGTTTGATCCATGCTGCAAAAGCTGTACAAAATGAAAAGACCTATTATTCCTCTAGGAAAATCTTAAGGCAAAAGCAAAAGCCTTATGCTACAAAAGAGAAACAAAGCAGAAGCCTGGGGACTGTGGAGACGGCTCAGATGAGTAAGCACCACAAGGATGAAGACAATTTTTGCATGAACATATGCAAGTTTAAAAAGAAGCATTAAAACACCCATTTTCCTGCAGAAATAATTGTCATGTCAGATAGCTTGACTCCTGAAACAAGTTCTGTTTAGATTTTAATTAAGAGAATCTTAATTCTCTCCTATGTTTATCAATGGTATCAGCCTTGTTTGGGGGCTCTTCTTTCCTCCTTTTCATCACACAGACCTTTGATCAGAGGCCTGCCCAATAATTCCCATAGAAGACAATCAGTGTGTCTGGGTGATTCTTGGGAAAGCTGTCATCTCCTTTTCCACCCTAACACTGGGACTAACTCCAAATTCCAGGCAGTCGCTTCATGTTTTAGGGTTGTACTAGAACAAACGTTTTAGCATGGTGATTTTTTTAAGGCTACAAACTTTGCAGGTTGGTCCCATTAAACAATGGCCTAAAAGCAGTTTTTCAAATGGCATGAATCAAACACTTACAGATTTCAACAGAATATAGTCTACATTCATCTCTAAATCTGAGATTAATGAACTATTAGCTGGTTTCCAACTGGTTTAAATACTGGTGTGAAGTTTGAGTAATTTTACTGTGTAGACATTAAATATTGTTTAAATATTAAACATTAAATCTTTTCCTGACTATCCAGACAGAAATAGAGAAAGCAAGAAGAAAGGCAAGAGAAGAAACAGTCCAAAAAACAGACTTGTGACTTCTACGCCATCTGTAACAAGGGGAGGGATTGCAGCGTGTTTCAAAAATGCCTGGGAGCTGGTTACTAAAAAGTTACCTCTACACTTGGCATAAATCATTTTTTTTCTACACAAGGTATCTGATTCCTCCAAAGGGGGAAGAAACCCAGAAAACAGAAAGAACTGGGTGGAGGGGGGGAGGTCTCCTGTTCACACTGTGTGAGGAAAGGGCCAGTATTACACTATTACACTCATTTAATAAGTTATAGTGAATATTCTGTAGCATTAAAGGAATCGTCATTTCACTTTGCACTACTGAGTCCTTGCCACGCAGAAGAGTTCTTCCTGAGAAATAAAAAACTTCAAACCTGGTTATCCCCAAAGGACATCTTGAGCTGGTTTAGGTCTGAAAAATGAAGACTTCCTGTTAGTAGGAAGCTATTCTCTACTAACTTTTAGACGACTACTGCCCGATAGTTGAAGCACCAGGCAAAGTGGCTATTTCAGTAAATCTCAACATTGCCAGCACATATGTTCTCAGTTAATTATTCAGTCATTGTTTTCAAAATTAACATTAAAAACTCAATGAGCTAATATAGGTACAACCTTTTTTAACTACTGAAGTTATCAATGCTGGGTTTAGTTAACACAGCATTTCCTTGGGATTACCTAAAAGATGCTTCTCTCATAGTCCATTTGCACAGGGGTTACCTCTAAATCTTTTAAATTATCACTCAAAATTAATTAAGTTGTAAACATTACTGAATAGCTTGGCTTATCAATTACACAAGGGAATCCAAGGAGCTACAGTAGCATAAAGCAAAAAAGCCTCAAAGGAAAAACCTCTTTGTATTTTCACTGTATTTTCAGAGGCCAAAGGTGAGCCACAATGCTACTGGTTATTTAACTACATTAAATTGACAACTAATGTACAAATTTCAGAGGCTCTATTAAATTTCTTAGCAATAGGCTTAAGCTACTGCTTTTTCCCCTTCTCCTCCCTGGTCATAAATAGTCACTACTGTAAACAGAGCTCATATCTACAGATGAAGTTATGATTCAACTGTCACGGTACAGTTGTAGTAGCAGTATTCTTCTTTCTTAATGCATCTTTATCACCTCAAGTGTCTGAGTCTTCTCCAAGTACTTGAATGGTTTGGACCATGCGACAAATGATTTAAGTCACCCTTACACATACAGTTTCTATACTTGCTTGCGCAGACTGTAATCTCATAATAATAATCTCTCTAGAAAACAGCTTTTCCCTTGAGACAAGCTTCCTTGGCAAAAAGTTGAATTTAAGAAATGGCTACCCAAAATGAGAGTCCCACCCCAAATCACAGGTGGAGATACACCCGTTTCGACTGAACACATGAGCCTTCTAAAATTGACACCTTTAGTACAGAAACAGATTTCTAGAGTTCCATCTCTTCTTCTGTGCAAGCAGCTGTTTCCAAACTATTATAAATAGGCATCCCTGTTTGCCGAGGTTCCAAGAACAATTCAGTTCTCCCAGGGAAGGCAGTGCCAGCAACGGCATGCTTAGTTTGGCTCTCTCCTGTGTAGTTCTTAGCATTAGATGATGGCTTTGGCTTATCAGAAAGGAGTTCAGGGAGAGGTTTCCAGAGCACAAGCTCCATAGAAGGACGGCTCCTAAGACATAAAATACAGATTTTTTTTAAATCAAGAATTTTAGGACATGAAAATGAAAGCTGTATGTTAAAGCGAATGTCTGCTATCTAATGTGTGGAGTTAAGAACTGAAAGTATCAAAATAAAAGATTTATGATAATAAAAATTAATCTTTAAAAAGGACACTCAAAATACAAAATTTTACAGTTCTGCGTGCATTTTTAAACCAAACCAACTAGTTGTACTGGTGTTGTGATTAAAAGTAATATAAACATCCAATGTGAAAAAATAGAGGCATTTAACATTTTAACTTTTTTAATAGTATGGTGTGGGCTACTATGTTGTACTAAACTATTATAAATGAAAATGAAACACTGGAAAAAAACATTAAAAGTATCTCAGTATGCCCTTCACTTAGCATAGCTACGAAACACCAGAATAATGCTTTTTGCAGTAAGCCTAAATGATTATGGGCCCAATGCCAGTGTCTGTCCTCCCCCAACCACTACTGGTTTGATGGTTTCTAGAGCCCAAAGGCAAGTAAGGGAAAATAAAACATAAACAATGAAGAATACTCCAAAGGTTAGCTTATAGTAAACTACCAAGGCTGGAGGACAATGCGACCTGCTTACTCTTGGCTAAACTATTTACTCATCCTCAGGGCTGGGTAGTAAATTACAAAGTTAAGCTAGAGGGCTAACCCAAAATCTCTGTGATCTAACATCAAGCAGCTCAACCCACTGTGGCCAAAAGCAATAATGCCTCTCTACCTAGGACCACTAGGACTGGTGTCCTAAGAGAATTTTTCAGATATTTGACCCTTACCCTCACTAAGCATCGATTCTTATCTAGGCAACACCTAAATGGCACTTTGTAACTTGCCTACAGCAGATGATGATGATTTGAAATCATCTAGGCTCAAGGACTACAAGAATTACAGTGCTATCATTGGTTCTTATATTAGTGAGCCCCAGGATGCTCTACTTTTTAGGTTCTTCTGTGTGTTTTCCAGTTTCCTCTCTTGTCCTCACACTGTATTTTTACTACTCACTACTATGTTCCTACTCTGATGATCTAGGAAATCAGAAAATTGAACTAATTAAACTGTCTAAATTAGGAGCAAGATGGCTCTCAGAGCTAAAAGACTGAGGGACTACATACACTGAGACAAGTATATGAGCTTTGATTTGTAGCCTGTGATAATTATTTTGATTGCTGGGAGATATTTTTTGTTTCCTAGGGAACTGATGGTGTTCCCCAAATTACGGAGAAAGAAGCAAGAAGTTTTGAAAAGTGGACCCTATATCCCTCTTACACCACGCCTTTCCCTTCCTCCTCCTTCTTCCCCTTATGCACAATCATTACCTTTGCCTCCCTCTCTCCTAAGCTCCAAGGGTTTTCTTCTGCCTCTGTACCTTGTTTCCTGAACCTATGCAACACAGCTGGCTTACTTCTAATAATTTTGTAACTTTCTAAATAAACTTCCTCTTATGGTTTGAAAAAAAATTTTTTTTGAAAGAATGGGCTCTTACCAATCCTCCCATTCAAAAATAGGATACAGTGCATTTCAGGACTTCAAAAGAATCCAGGGTACCTAGGCAAAGTAACCACTCTTGCATTCCTCAAACTCCTGCTTGTACAGCATTTTGCTCACCCCAATGAATTAAAAAGGTCTGTCTACAACCTGGGCTAAATATAAAACCTACTGTGCTTTCGCTTGTCTGGTGATCAGGAGATGAAGAGATGGCTAGAATAGGACATGTAGCGTCTAGAGACACTGGATTTTCCCTCCAAGATCATAAATGAATGGAAACCAGTAACCAAAACTTACATGGACTCAATCATTTTCTTTGTAAAGACTTCATCAAATTCCCTCTTCAAACCTGTTTTCATGGTATCAGAAAGGACAAGACTGGGGAGATGGTTAATATTTCTGTCAGGTTCAACTTCTTCATCTTCGTCAATTATCCTAAATAAAGGCAGCAGAAGCAGAGAAAGAAAATTTATTTAGTCATTACATATTTTAGTAACTGGACACAGATTTTAAAATAAAAAAAGGGTAAAGGCCACACATTAAAAGGTCAAGTAAAATATGAAGCTATACATGAGTGAAAAAATTATATACAGAAGAGTTATTCAACATTTCATTTAACAAAAGTTTTATATTAGATGCAATCAAATTTGAAGACTGTGTCCCTGAAAACTCCCATAAACAAAAATTAATATTCAGAGATAGTTAAGTGAAAATATTCTGTCCAGTTCTATGAGAAGAGATTATCTTAACATTTAAGGTATACACCAAGTTCCTTATTTTTAGTCTCTCTGAAAGGCTGAGGATCAAGGTATCATCAAATGATGAATGAGACTAGCTTAAAAGAGTAGTAACATTACATAGGAACAATAAGCCCACTACATATGCTGCCCATTTACCTGTCCTCAATTTCCTGAAGCCTCCTTCTGGCAACTTCACACTGTGGTTCTCCAGTTGTCTGATCCATTTCTTCACAAATAACATCTAACATGCCAGGTGCAGAAAGGCCACTAGTGCATGGATTTACTCCATGACCTTCTATATCCTGATGTGCACAAAGAATCCAGTCATTAGGACCAGCACAGAGCCTTGCTTCAGTTAGCCTTTTCTTTCTTACTGGGCAACTGGAAAAAAAAAATTACAATGAAAATCCTGACTAATATAAATGAAATGTATATCATCCCTCTCTCTAATAAAATTCTTACATGGAAAAAGACCAATAATTTTTGACAGTGTGTTTACAAGATGGAAAAGCATGCATTTTCTTTTCTCTCACTCTCAGACTCCTTGAGATGTTTTCTTTTACTGTTCTTGCTGTCAAACTAAGCTGTACCTGCAAGACTTTACTTTTTCAAATCAGAAGTGTTCAATGTGGGAACTTAAAGTCATTCCTATTTATTTAACTCTGGGTAGGTCAAGTGGGAGTAAGGAAAAGCAGTGATTCAGCGCCAGCTGTATTTTGTCTTACTGCTGCTGTTCCATCAAACTGGTCATATGGGAAGGTGGTCTGCAGGCATCCTATATTCCCTTGTGGCAAAAATATATGCCTCATCAGGTCTGTTCCAAATATTACAGGTGCTGATATTGATTTCTTGGTCCTCTCCAAAATGTCATACTGTCATTTGGCTCTTTGAGTTCTTGACTAATGGCGTGCACTAATCTTCAAACATAAACTATCTGTACTTCCTAGAAACTTTTTATTTCATAGAGACCTTAAGAATTCATCAAATCCAATTTCTTTGTTTTGCAGATTTGGAAACTAGGACATAGAAAAACTGAAGTGCCCCTTCCAAAGTGTCATAAAAGAGCTACAAGTTGGACATCAGACAGACCCCAGAGGCCCTGAATCCACTTCTGTGCACTAAAACCTCCAGCCTCCTTAGGAAAGTTCAACTGTTGAAACTCTTACCACAAACTAGTATTTGCAAACACTATGATATGACCAGTTTAATTGAAAGCTGCCTGAAGCAAGTTAAATTTTCTATTTAAGTAGTTAGATCAAAAGTACTTTATTGTGTGGTCATTAGCAAGTACAATCTTAAGACCCAGAACGCAGCTCTTCAACCAACAAAATTCATTAAAGACTACCACAGCTTCTCAACCTCTAAACTGAAGGTCAAAGGAAGTGACATATTTCTCAAGGAGAAGTGTCTATTCCATGTTAAGACTATGAAAATCAACATTAAAGCATCTGGTGATACAAAACCTTACAAATAATGATGCTCTCTTGAGCCTAGATTTTTTAATTGGAATCAACTATTAAATATGTTTATAATTCATTTTAATTCATAAGAAAATATTAAGAATGGTTAGCTATACATGAAGTATTTCTATAATACTTGAATAGTTTCAAATATGTGATATTTTGGAAAGCAGAAAAAAAAAGTTAAACACATAAGAAAATAGCTAAGAAAAGCAGAGTAAATCTAGAGGGAACAGGTAATTTCCTAGCACTTGTAACAATTCAACTATTTAATGAAACTGAGTGTAAGTTCTGATCTCTAACCTCCAACATGATTTGGATTACATTATTTCATGTGCACAGGTCTACTTTGCAAATAATTAGAGATCAGTGATGATTAAGTCCCAAAGAAAATGTAATATAAATGACTTCAAAGTATTGATAAGAGCTACGGAGTGGCAGCTGGGCAGCACACTTCTGGACACCACACGCTCAAATGTCGAGTCCCTCATCCTCCCAGGGCCTCAATCTCTCCATCTGTAAGTTAAAGGCGGATAACTTTTTTAAAAAAATTTTTACTTATTGACTTTAGAGAGAGGAATGGAAGGAGAAAAGTGGGGTGTCAGGGGTGGGGGGAGACAGACAGACACTGATTTATTGTTCCACTTATTTATGTATTCATTGGTTGCTTCTTGTATGTGCCCTGACCAGAGATCAAACCTGCAACCTTGGTATATCAGGGCAACACTCTGGCCAACTAAGTTATCTGGCCAGAGAGGCACTGGAATCCTTTATTCAACAGCCTCCCATATGGAACCCCAAAAGATAAAAGCAAAGAGATCCCTGTGTATCCACAGCAATCCCACGGCAATAAAAAACATAAATGATATCTGGACCAGTAGTTTTTAAAATAAGGCAACTTTTAAATCTACTGTCATCTTAGTCTATGTGTCAACAAGGTTAGAAAATCCAAAGTTGCTGTACAAGTATATAAATCATACATACAGTCAAAAGATAAACAACAAATTTGGGTAAACATTTACAATATACACAATAAACTGCTGATTTCTTTAACAAAGACTTCCTATAAATAAATAAGAAAAAGATCAGTAGTAGGCCAATAAAAAATTTGCAGACACAGCAACAATTTACACAAAATTAAACACATGGCTTTAATGAAAAAATGTTCATCACTTATAATTTACAAAATACAAATTACAAGTGATCTAATTTCTTTTTTTCCTAAAGATTTTATTCATTTTACCTTAAAGGAAAGGGAAGGAGAAAAAGAGGGAGAGAAACATTGATGCAAGAAACACTGATTAGTTGCCTCCCATATGTGTCCTGACCAGGGATCGAACTGGAGACACTTTGCTCTGTGGGATGATGCCCAACAGAATCACACCAGTTGGGGCTACTTTCTTTTTAACTACAAAATCCTATGCTCATAAAAGCACAAACATACATTTAATGAATAATTGTGACACAAATATCCATGAAAATAACACTCAATATATGCTGCCACCACCCCAAAATGACTCTGTTCTCTTTTCCTCACAGGTAAAGTCTTTTATGGTAATTACTTCATTTTTAAAAATAAAACATTATCACACATACAGATATGCATCCCTAAATAATGTTTAGTTTTGTCTAGTTTTGAACCTTTTATTTAGGGAATTATACTGTATATGTTTTGGTGATATTGCTTTTGCTCATATTACGCTTTTAAGACATCCATGTTGACAGGTGCAGTTATTTTTCTTTTTTGCTGACTAGAGCGCCGTTGTGTGAATTTGTTATTTACTTTATTCATTTTACTGTTGAGGGACATTTGGATTGTTTCCAGTTTTGAGCTATTATGAGCAAGGATGCTATGAACTTTCTTGTCTGTGTTTCCTGATGTGCACATGTACATACTCAGGAGGGGAACTGGTGGGTTAAAAGGTAGAATACAAATGTGTTTTCTAAAGTGCTAGGAGCAATTTACATTCTTATCCACAGTGTTTGAGAGTTCTTCATGCTCCATGACCATTTCAATATCATTATAGCTTTAATATGCACTTCCCTAAAGACTGATGAGGTTGAACATCTTTGCATTTTGACTGTTCATTTGAATTCTCTCTGGAGAATTCCTCCACTCACCCCCGCCCCCGCCCTGCACACACAAAGCCTATATATGAGATGCAATTTTCTGCCTATCAGATCAAAAAGTTTGAAAAATACAGATCTGGTGAGAAGATGGAAAAACAGGTATTTCCACTGCTAAAATGAATATAAATTGGCAACAACTTTCGTTCAAACTTCAAAATGCATACACTTTGAGACCCAGCAATTCCCCATCTAGGAAATCCATTCACCTACTTGTAAATATATACAAAGAACTTAGAAAGAATGATCATGGCAGATTTGTTAGTAATAGCAAAAAGCTTAGAAATAACTTACAAATCCATCAACAGGAGACTGATTAAATTATCTATTCCTAGCCTTAGAATAGGAGTCCGCTCACTCAACTGTTGAAAAAAGTTAGGCAGCATTCTGCGCGCCTATACGCAACAAGCTACAGAAGAGGAAAATGAAAAGATTAATGTGTTGCACAGTGTGAACAGTATCTTCTTAAAATGAAGGTCTATACCGTTAGAAGCTTGTAAGTTTTAACATTACCTTCCACAGGAGATAACAGGTAACAGGCAAAGCGGTTGCCTCTGGGAACTGTGAGCATCTAAGCCTTTTCAACATGTATCCTTTCTACACACTTGGGATTCTTTTTGTGCAAAAATTGAAACTTCACAATCCACTACAGAGTGAAAAGTTGCTGAACTTTGCCAGCCACCCAGTTACTTTTCTGCAACAAATGTCATCAGTTCCTCTGCCTCCTTTCAGAGACACCTTAATGTTTCGTCTTTTCACCGAAAGCACATAATTGAGGATTCAAAATAAGGTAAGTAAGTGACAAGCAAACGGCGCCCGAAACTTACTCATCATCTTCCAGCTCCAGCCTGTGTTTCTTTTTACACGGAACGGAACCACCGCTGAAACAGACAGAAATCGGTCAGCGGCGAAACGCACGAGTCCGTGCTCTCCGCATCCAACAGGCGGCCCACCCCGCACTTGCCCCGCGGACCCTTCCTCGCCCCGCGGGATGGCTACACAGGCCACAACCAGGTAGATGCTGGGCGGTCCTGACCTACCCGGACACTGAACCCTAAACTTCCCGCTCTGTCACGGCGACGGGGGGATACATTTGGGGAGATCCACGGAGAAAAAGTGCACTCGGGGCTGGCACCGTGCTAAGCGCTCTCCTTCCAAGATCTCGGTCGGAGGACCCCCTCTGCAGGTGAGGGAGCCGACCGTCCGAGGGACACTGAAAGTTGTTCCCATCAGCGGCCGCGCCGCGTTTGAATGAGGAGCGAGGGGTGTACCCGCCGAGGGGACAGCGAGGCTCCGGGGACCCGGGTTCCAATCCCTGCCCGACCTAGTCCAGCTGGGGAAAGTGTCCTCACTTCCCAGAGGAGGTCCAAACGGGACTCCCGGGCTGTACGACCTCCGGCGCGTTAGAGTTACGGTCTCTGGAGATCACTTTTCTCATCGGTAAACTGGAGCTGAGGAGCCTCCCGCGGAGGGTCCTGAGGAGGGAGAGCCCGGCCCGCCCGCCCCGCGCCCGCCGGCTCCTCACCGTCCGCGCGCCGCACTCCCGCCGGGGCTGCTCGGGGAAACGCGGGGTCCCAGCCGAGGGGCCAGCTCGGCACCGTCCGTCCCCGGCGGGAAGGCCGGGCCGGAGAGGGCCGGCGGCGGCGGCTGCAGGAAGTCCGGCCCGCCACTCAAGGGGAGGCCGCTGAAGGGCCGACCGAGCGCGGCCATGACCGGGGAGTTGCGGAGGTTGCGCCCACGGCCCCGGCCGCCCGTATCTCCACGTCCGGCAGCTGCAGCCACAGCGACTGCTGAGAGGTGTCCGCCTCTGAGCCTGCTCTTGACCTCACGTCACGCCTTCTAGAACCCTCCACCCCAGGCCGCCCAGGGGCACGCCGGGATTTGTTGTGTGTGGCGAGCAGCAGCCGCAAGGAATGCCGGAAGTTGCGGTCCTTGCAGACTACAAGCAAGATGGCTGCCTGGCCTTAGCGGGCTAAAGCTTGAGGACGGCTCTGCCCGGCCTTGAAGAGACTCTGGGTTCGAATCCTCACTCCACAAGGTAGGGAAAGGATGTAACCTCTGTATCTCAGTTTTCTCGGTAGTGAAACCCGATAATAATAATACCTACCTTCGTAGGGTTGGGGGGAGAAGTAAATGAATTGAACATACAGAGCCCTCAGAACGCTTCTCGGCACACGGTCCAGATTCACTAAATATCAGTTTTTAATCCGTTCTGTGTTTTAATATAAATGAAGCTGGTGATGCCTTAGAGCGAACAATAGGGAGCGTCAGTAGAGACCTCAGAGCGCTTGCGAGAAGCCGCCCCGCTTCTGCCGGGGGCATCCAGAGACAGAGGCTTGCCAGGGGAGCTGGCGGAGTTGGTCAACCCCAGCCACTGACTGTGTCCTTTTTTCCCATCTCAGGGAGTGGCCCAGTCATCCAGTCTGAGTTGCCTGTGCCAGCGTCAATGCCCATCAGCCAAACACCACGAAGAACAAGCCTATAATTGAACAAAGATGTGTTTATTAATAGACCCCCTTCCAGTGAGGGAGTCTCTAGTAAGGGGAACTTTTCATAGGATTTGGGCTGTCTTGGGTAATTTGTGGGAAGGTTCAAGGAAATAGAGCTTTGTTCTGGAATTAATATTGTCAGGAAGCAGAGATAATTTGCTATGACTGGGTATCTTAGTCAATCTCTTCTAAAAGGTGTGAGGAATGAAGGTGGGCTGAACATACCTTCATATTTGACAGGACAGGGAGATGTGTGGTCATTTTTGTGTTTTAGACAATGTTTACATTTTTGTGTGTATTCAGCCATAATTACAAAGTAGTCTCGTTTTTATCTTTAAAAAAAATTTTTATGCCCTGGCCAGTGAGGCTTAGTTGGTTGGCGTGAAAGGCTGCGGGTTCGATTCCCAGTCAAGGCACATGCCTTGGTTGCAGTTTCCATCCCCAGCCTGGGTGGGTAAAATCAGTAATTTCCACAAACCAATAAAAACATTCTTTCCTGCTGTGTACCCACAAAATGCATATTCAAGGGAAGATCCCTGTATTAGTTAGTGTTCTCCAGGAAAATGGAACTAATGGATACAGAGTTATACAGAGTGTGGCCAAAGTAGGTTTACAGTTGTGAGTATACAAAACGCAAAATTTATTATTTATTTTTTTTAGGTTTTATTTACTTATTTTTAGAGAGAAGGGAAGAGAGGAAGAGAAACATCAATGTGAGAGAGAAACGTCGATTGGTTGCCCCTCGTACACCTCCATCTGGGGACTGGCCTGCAACCCAGGCCTGTGCCCTGACGAGGAATCGAACTGGCGACCTCTCAGTTCGCAGGCTGGCACTCAATCCACTGAGCAACACCAGCCAGGACCAGAGGCTTTTTGTATTATTATGTATTAATTATTGTATTATTTTCCATACAAACAAGTTCTGCCCCACCCTGTATATAGGAGGAGATCTATTATAGGACTTGACTCACGTGGTTATGGAGGCCAGGAAAGCCCACCATCTGCCATCTGCAGGCTGGAGAACTAGGAGAGACAGTGATGTAATATTCAGGCCTGCCATTCATGGGGCTGATGGTGTAAGTCCCTATCGGAGCCTGAGAACTGCAGAGCCCATGTTCAAGGGCAGAAGATGGATGACTCAGCTCAATGAGAGAGAGAGAGAGAGAGAGAGAGAGAGCGCGCGAGAGAGCGCGAGAGAGAGAGAGCGCGTGCCAATTTGCCCTTCGTCTGCCTTTTTATTCTGTTGGTCCTGTACAGATGAGATAATGCCACCCACAGCAGAGGGCCATCTGCTTTACTCGGTTTCCCAATTCAAAGCTGATCTCTTCCAGGAACATCCTCACAGACACACCCAGGAAGAATGTTTTACCAGCTATCTGGGCATCCCTTAGGCTAGTCAAGTTGACACATAAAAGTAACCATCACAATCCCTAAGGAACCAATGCTCATGCTTTAAAAATGGCAGCACCCATTGCCGTCAAGGGCAGAGTGAAATCTGCATGTTCAGATGTTGCCAATGAAATTCCAAATAGTGAGCACCTTCTCAGAAGTGGCCTTTGTTCTCACATCATAAAAGTATTGTTGTATTATGGCTACTGGTGTGAAAAAAAGTGACTATATGAGGACAAAAAGGAGGATATAATGTATAAACAAGAAATGCTGTGTTAAGGCATGGGAGTTTTTCATGATTATTTTAAAGCAAATCCCAGAATCATATTTTATTTGTAAATGCATTAATGTTTATCTCTAACAAATACTTTTAAGAAAAAGATAACCACAATGCCATTACCCTCCCTAATGCCATTATCCTCCCCAACAGAATTAGTAATAATTCTTTAAAATGATCTAATCAGTAGTCATATTTTTCTAAGTGCCTCCAAATATCTTTTTATATAGTTGGGTTAATGGCATCATGATTCAACATTGCATTAGGTTTCCCTGTTTCTTGAGTCTCCTGTAGTCTAGGTCTCTGTCTGCTTTCTTCCTTGTTAATTATTTGTTGATTCACTAGGTCGTTTGGACATTGGCATAGTCATCATGGACACTGTAGGTGGCGACGAAGCATCTCCACATGGCTTCCCAGGTCCACATCAACCAGTGAGCCTGGAGTAGAAGAGGAAGGACACGGTAGCTACTGCCACCTGCTTGGTAACTGTAGTCTCAGTGGGTGGTAGCTTGCTCTTGTAAGCAAGTAGGGCTTTGCAGAAGAACTAGGATATCAGTATTACCATGACCCAATTCATTATCCCTTGGCTGCTGGAGCCTCCTAGCTGGTCTCCTTACTCTACTCTTGCCCTTCCAACCCATTAGCCATAGTATAGCCAAACATATTCATCCACCATGCAATCCTGATGTGCTCTTCTCCGGCTTTAAGCCATTCTATGACTCCCTATTACCCTTGGGAGAAGGTCCAACCACCTTCAGACTCCACTTTCCTTCAGGATCCTCCCCCTTTCCATCACCCCAGCTTCATCTCTTTCCACTCCCCACCTGATGTATGTATCTAGCAATTTGGATTTTCTTCAGTTTTCTATTGAATTGCTCTCTATTCCTCTCTCTTACCTTGAAACTTGCATACATTTCTTTTTCTCCCTGGTAACAAATGCTATCTTTTACATCCAAACAGACCTTTCTAGTATATCAAATGTTTGTGGTGCTTTTGGAGCCAGAAAAAAAGGAGGTATTGTAGTTTACAGAGAATGACAAGTGGTCCTATTTGAAACTCTTGGAGTACCTTATGGAATGTATTCTGCCAAGAGCAGTCTTGAAAATAGGAAATTAGGGATTTTCACACGGCTCTTTGGTGTTAACATCAATAAAAATGCCCACAGTGTTCCTTGGTTTCCTTGGTGCCCATGACTGGGGTGAAATAAATGCGCACTTGGTCTGAGCAGGGAACCATCTCCCTTGTTTCCACATTGTCCTGAGGAACAATGGAGAGGCTCCAATACACATTCTTGGCTATTTAATACATGTTCTCACAGCTCTCACATGTGCTTAAAAAAAACTGGATTTATTAATAAAGTTTTACCCTTGCATTACACTGTGATGTGGTCTACAGTTTTCTTAATATTACTTCTGGATGCAAAGTGTAATAGACTGTGTGTGTTGGCACTGGTCCGCCCCTGGGCAGGTATGCTCCTCCCTAACCACAACGCACACTCATGGGTGGCAAGGAAATTTAATCAAAGGCAGCTGCTACAAGTGCTTTAGCTATCTTCAGTCTTCTGAACTCTAGAGGTTTCTGCTCATTTACCTTAGCAATGTTAGAAGGAATTTTTCACAGATGAATGGTATTTAAGATATACAGATTAACTAGAATTACTAGAGCTGTTTTCATCCTGACATTAATAAGGTATAAAAATCTAGTGAGCCCTCCAACCTCCCACACTCAAGACGACATCCCAGGTTTGATTCTTAAGTGGTCCTGGGCCCCATACTGGAGGGGAAGGTTCTTGGTCATATCCTGGTACCAGAATACTTTTTCATTTGCCTCAGAAGAACCTTATGTGTAAGGAGTTTTTGAGAAACAGAGAAACAGAGCTGGAACTTGAATATTCTAGAATGAGTTGTTTGGCTGTTTCTTTCCTGTTTGCTAAATGTACTTAGTAGAGGCAGATTTCTATGTAGAACTTGCTTTTATTAAAACCTGGTAGAACCAAAGGGTGAAAGAAGAAATCACAGGGGAAATTAGAAAATACTTTGAGATGAATGAAAATGGAAATTCAACATGCCAGCACTTAGGGGGTTCAGTAAAAGCAATGCCTAGGGGGAGTTTATAGCTATAAACACCTATTTTTAGAAAACAAGATCTCAAAATCAATAATTTAAAACTCCTACCATAAGAAACTAGAAGAGGAATAGAAAACTAAACCCAGAGCAAGCTGAAGAAGGAAATAATAAATATTAGAGCAGAAATAAATGAAATAGTAGAAAATATGGAGAAAAATAAATGAAATAAAAAGTTGGCTCTTTGAAAAGATCAACATACTTGACAAGCCTTTAGCTATACTGACCAAAAGAAACAGAAAGTAGAGACTCAAATTGTTAAAATTAGGAATGAAAGAGGGGATTATAAATGAATATTATGTACAAATAAATGCCAGAAAATTAGATTACTTAGGTAAAATGGATAAATTCCCAGAAAAACACAAGCAAAACCCATTCAGGAAGAAATAGAAATTCTGAATAATATATACTTTAAGTGTATACCTCAGTGGCACTAAGTGCATTCATGTTGTTGCCATCCACCTCTGGAATTTTTCCATCTTCCCAAACTGATACTCTGTAACAGTGCACAGTTTCTGTATTTAGG